TATTAGGAGTATGCTGTAAAGCGTAACAAAGGCACTGTTAGGTTGTGCAGTGTAAAGTTTTAACACTTTAGTATTAGGTGTTGTAGTTGATCTAGCTTGACTTTATGTATGTGTAGACAGTAACATGTTTGTGCGAGGGAGATTACATGTTAACACAACGTAATCAAACAGACTACTCACACCAAACAAAGGCACAAGAAAGTTACAGAAAAAAACTAATGTCAGAACAAGACGTATTCGTGGAAGACTTCGGGTCTCCCGCCCGGGCTCCTATTACGGGAAATAGCATAATATGTGGAGTTATTCCCCCTTCCTAGTGAAATGATATTGATATATTAACATTACTCTGTCTCTGAATACAAAACTTGATAAAATTTAACTAAAATAAATTACTTTAAAAATTTACTGTTTTTTCGGGGTGGAATAAGATTTCGAAAATAAAGAGTTTCAAAATAAAATTGATAAAGAGAACCCAAATCTCATTTCAAGACTTCCACGCAAACTTTTTGCATCGAGCTTTAGTTAACATTTTTCCATTAAGCAATTATTATTTTTTTTTAAACTCGAATAGTTCCCCTTTAAAGGTTTAATATCCGTAGTTATCAAATGAGTGGTAAACAGAGGAATAAAAAAAATATGATGTTAAATGTCAATGACAGGCGACTTTCGTAGTAATGTATCATGTACGCTCAAGTATCGCGTTATCGGTGTGCGTAGTAAGATTACATGTATCTTACAGAAAATAGTGCTAAGATAGGTAACATATAACTTTAAGACTGTTAAGTAGAAGACGCTGACTCTTCTGGAACACCTGGTCTTATTCTCCTTGTACTTTTTCAGGTGTGCCCCGTGTAAATCTTTCTTTTATTCACATCTTGCCTCAGTTTAATTGATTTTGAGGTTGGATTGTGATCGTGTGGCCATGTTGGTATTTTTTGGTGTTTCTGTATCATAGTATGTGTTCAGGTTGCATGTCCAGCAACAGATAATCCAGGCCGATTGGATAAGGAAATATTCACTCTTCGTTCTTCTATCAAACTTTTTAAAACCATCGTTGTATGTAAGTGATACGGAGGAGGGGAGGTAACTCTTAACATGAAGATTTTCACATAAGGTAGTCTTTCGCGGTTTCCTTTAAAATCGTACAGAAAACTATAAATAGAACAGTCTACACATGAACGGCCATTTGTTTGTTGAACTGATGTATTTAATGACACGAACAAAACTGGTTTGATATATAGTAGAAGGTTCCCTCTACTGGCATGGTTGTTTGATGGCCTTTTTCTATTTCTTGCCTTAACGATTCTGAATAGCGTGTGTTTACAATTCTTTGTCTTCTCTTAGTTTTATAATTTTATTATACATCATTGAATATGTTGTATACGAAAAAGTTTTATTTATTTATTTTTCAATGCGAATTTATAAACCTTTCAATGTTTGTCAGTTTAGAAGTCAGCTACACTCTACCTCTACTTTTCTTTCCATAGCTGTTACAAACGTGCCAGAATCGATATTTCATCTCAAAAAGAAAAAAAAACTGAAATAAAACTGGTAATATCCCAACATAATGAACACAATTCATAAATTATGTTTAAAATCATAGTTCAATATCGATTTTAACTATTATTACTGTCATAGATTGATTAAAGGTGCATGGTGTTATCTTCAGATAGAAATCAATTTGTCTTTTCGTCCGTTTGTCGGTCAGTGCATCCTTTAGAAACCTTAGCTCATATTCAATTCACACCATAGTATCATTGATAGCTACATCACGTTCTATACATGATAATTTAGTTATTGTTCAACATTAAAGGGTCAAAGGTCACAGCTGGTCATTAGCAGGGAGGTATGACTTTATTAATTAATATTTAATTTTGGAGAAGAAATAAATTAATTCTGAGTGCATCCGTCACAGTAGACAATCAGAATTAATACATACTGAAAATATTGCCTTTTTCGATGGTTTGCGGTCTCATCAAAAGCTTGAGGTCAAAAAATGTATTTCCATTGAAGTCATGAAAAGACCCATTGTTTTTCTATATTTTATATTTACAAGGTATTTGATAAAATCCTCGAAAAAGCGTAATTAAGATAAAAACTACTCGGAAATAACAGCAACATTATGATTTCTTTACTTTTATGTTTTCAATAAGTACACATAACACTAGTTTTATTTCCTACGAGGAAATATTTCATAATGATAATTTCCTAGTTACATATGGAGACACAGCACTGAATGTCTATGGAAAAAATCACTGTCACCAGTTCACCATCTGTTTCCCTAACGCCGTGGTATACCGATCAGAGACATGCCTGGTCAACCCACTATATCTTCGGGCATTTTATATTATCATATTTCTTTTGTGAAAAGAATTGAAAACTGAAACTATTTGTTTGTTCGTAATGATATTTTCGTCTTATTACGCATAATTTTGTATTTTTGTAAATATATCAAATTAATTTTTCTTTTTTAGATGTTGGCAAGCTGCTAAAGCCCCGCCCATTTTCTTCCTAATCAATATCATCGAAATTGAAATGGACACCGATGCATCTTCTCGTTTCTCCGAAACCGATACCGTCTGTTGATCAATACATTATCGTAATCATCCCAGTAAACGTATCAAATGTCTTCAATTGTAAGAAGTTGTGGAAATTGTAGAGGAGTTGAACTTTCAGACGTTCGACATATATAATATGTTATATTTTCATAAAAAAAACGTGTGCACGATCTTTGTATTTATCGCACATAGTGAATGTGCTAACACGGAAGATTTTGTAAAAAAAAAAAGCCAGTACATACATGTAACCACTCTTATCAATCTGTATTTTTTTCTTTTTAAATAAAAATACGAAACTTATTTATATTCATTGCAAATAATTGAATATTGAAATTGAATACTTTCTTTTTAAAAAGGACGAATTAGTCCAGTAGAGTTCGAAATAGGGCAGGTACTGAAAACATTTTACACCTAATTCAAGTTAATATAGTTGATGTTTTTTATGTACACCGGAAATTGCAACCACTTGGCCAGAGACCATGCCGAGGATAAGTAGCAATGCACCAAGTATGATATCAGTATGCTAAATAAATAACATTAAATTTCCGGTTTAGACAGGATATGTCCGGGTTATATGTCGCGAAACTCTTTGGTTATAAACATCTTTGACGATCTGCTACTCAGAACCACGTGTGAAAGCTTCACAGAGGGATAGAAACTCTGCTTCAAGCAACACAAACATTTCTACTTTTGCTTGTAAATGATTTCAAATAACCGAAAGATTATTTATTGCAAAATGACAACGGCATCGTGATATGTCTCCTCCGGACCATGTACACGACAGTGATACGAAACGACAACAGAAACAACGGATACTGTATTATACATAAAATGTTTATATTTCAAAATGATCCTCTTTTTCAAAATTGATCTTTATGGACAAAATGTAGAACATGCTAACAATATTTTTCCTCATCTCCAAGAACAAAATAATGACGTCATCAGATGTATCACTTGACGTGAAGCCATATCAATACTTATTCCGTAAAACATCATTGTCTCTTAAAAGCAATCCATTTACTAGGAGTCCAGAAAGCCACTTTCTAATATAGGTTTCAGTTTTACTTGTGCGAGCACAATGACTTTTCCAACTTACGGTTGAAATAAACAATTTGATAAACTACAACATTGAATTTCAAAAACACACATATAATATATCTGTATATAAGGCAATTTAAACATGCATAAATGATTTCCCATCATATCTTGGTCAACATACAGAAGGTCAAAGCTTCACGACTTGTAAAATATTCTCATTTGTTACATCACACAAAAAGCGTCTGTTTTGAACCACTTTGTGATTTTCCATGACTTCTCACAAGAATCTGGTCTAGCAGACAGGGCCTTTCAAACTGCACGCAAATCACAATATGTTTAAATATACTGAAAACAGCAGAATGAAGATTAACGTAGCCATGTCATAAACCATACATATCAAATACTTGTGAAGTAGAAGAAATGGAGAGTGTGTGTTGTGTAATCCTAAGTGACGTCACTAACCAAGATCAAAGTTACTATTCCGTTTAACTGACATTAAAATTATTTTTATGTCATTAAATGTTTCGCTTTTCGATATCACTGGTTTCATTTTCGGACCCCCTTGTTACTTAAGACAACAAGAATGTGAAACGAACCAATAAACTAAGTAATCATAAGTACATACTCAATTCTCAATAACATAGTATTTTGTGTTAATCCATGACTCTATAGACATTTTAATGCCAAATTGTTTGTGATAACGCAATTACATCAATATATAAATGAGCGACTAAATATTTACCAATGTGCTTTATAAAATCTATTTTTAGCTGTGATAAAGGTGATGTCCTACACTTTTTATAATGTCCAGATTGCTCGGGGAAAAGACCAGTGATTTCAATTTCTTATGTACCGAACACTTGTCCTATCTGTTAAGATTTGTTTTTGAGTGTGAGCTTTCCTTGATGACGTTACATGTATTACAATAGAAGGTGTTCCGCCAATGATCTCGTGGTAAAGCAATAATTAATTACGTCACACTGCGCGAGATATGAGTTGTGCTTGATCTGAAATAAAGTTAACAAAGCTGTATTTATAGAAACAGTGAGTGTCGATATAAAAGTGTGTGTCGGTATACAGAGCTGCTGTTACCTTGAAATTTAATTGTACAACGAAGACCACACAATTACTGCTGTCAATAATGCTTACTTTGATTTCAGGGTTGGCACGAAAAGTGACACATTATTCTGCTATACAGTATACAAAATCACAACCGTTACAACACAACCCATATTTCTTGGCGATGTGTTCACAGAATCTCGTCTCGCTTTCTTTGATCTCGTATAAAAACACTCAATTATGTCTGCTCTCATATTCGGGTTCAATCCATCATCATTTAAAGTACACACGGAAATACTTGTGTGCCACGTCATCCCTTGGTGTGCACATATGTGTTTTTCATCATCAGCTGGCATATACACATCCCTTTACAAGTAAAATGCCATTCTTATAGTCGTATAACCCTGGCCATATGAAGAAGTCCACGTTGTTCGCGCTCTTTTGGTCACATGACCACCAAAGTTTATGTTTGTCATCATCGAATTTTTTGTCATCCACTGTAAGATGCATTTGCGGCTGTTGCACCACCATCTGCCACGTTACCTTAGCGCATGCGTGCATATATTTATAAATTGACTTGTGCTGAAGACAGTTGTTCTCCGCGAAATTTCTGTAATCTTTGGCGAGTTTCTTTGACATAATCTGAAAAAGAAAAAACATTACGATAAATAGATGATCGGTAACATTTACAGTTGTTATTTATCATTTGCCATCTAGGAAGGTCAAAGGTTAAGAGTCCTCCAGTCAAAGGTGAAAGATTCATGTCCATTTGCCAAGCAGTTTAAAGGATAGAATTTCTCCAATCCAAGGTGAACGATTCTCATCCATTTGCCATATAGAGGGTATAAGTTAGAGTGAAAAATAATCCAAACTCTGACAAAAAAAACTGTGAAAGATATACTTCACGGAAATGTTATATTGAACTGCTCACAACTGTCATACAGCAGTTATCTACCGTATCAGTATTTAAAATGTTATTTGATTCGAGGAAGGAGTTTCTACATATCAAAGTAAAATGCTTAGAGCTTAATTGAATTGTTATTACGTCCCTAAGTAAAACTAGAAGATAGATCTAAGGTAATTCTATTTAACAGGACACGTAGGAATCTAACACCAACTGATATGTGACAGGATTGGTTGAAAATAGCGTCAGTAAATACCCAGGGGTCATTGTCTGGTTAAAAGGTCAAGGTCAAAGGTAAATCAATATCACTCAATGTGTACCAAACATGACTCTGAGATGATGTCATATCCCAGCTCACAAGATCAAAGGTTATGGATCATAGATCAGAATTATGCAGGTTAGAGGTTAAAGACTTACGTTGACAATGGTCTCGGTCTCCACTTCATCAAAATGCTGTCGGAGTTGTTGCCCCACACCGTCCGTTAGACTCTCTGGTAGTTTGTACCGATAGTTGATCTCACCACCAAAATCTAAGCTAACCTGAAAAGGACAAATACGATCTTTTATCTTTCACATAGTAACAGTACCAAAACGTAGTTAACAATCCTTATCTTTGACTATCAACAACGTAAAATTGGTGACAAGGGGAACACGGAAGTCTTAATGATCCAACCGTAGCCATGGTGATATCTTGTTTCCAGAAACAATTCCTCATCAATTGAATATATAGAGTGGAAGGGTAGCAGGCCAGAGATACCGGGTTCGATACCTATTGCGGCAATGTAAAAGCAATCATCACTTCCACAATAATACTATCACATAAGGAAACACTTCAGTCTTAATTGTCAATCAATAACGTCACATAGGTTCACACGGTAGTGGTATCAGTCTTTCGTAATAACAATGTCATATAGGGCCATACGGTAGTGGTATCAGTCTTTCGTCATAACAATGTCATATAGGGCCATACGGTAGTGGTATCAGTCTTTCGTAATAACAATGTCATATAGGGCCATACGGTAGTGGTATCAGTCTTTCGTCATAACAATATCATATAGGGCCATACGGTAGTGGTATCAGTCTTTCGTCATAACAATGTCATACAGGGTCACACGGTAGTGGTATCAGTCTTTCGTCATAACAATGTCATACAGGGCCATACGGTAGTGGTATCAGTCTTTCGTCATAACAATGTCATACAGGGTCACACGGTAGTGGTATCAGTCCTTCGTCATACAGGGTCACACGGTAGTGGTATCAGTCTTTCGTCATAACAATGTCATACAGGGTCACACGGTAGTGGTATCAATCCTTCATCATAACAATGTCATACAGGGTCACACGGTAGTGGTATCAATCCTTCATCATAACAATGTCATACAGGGTCACACGGTAGTGGTATCAGTCTTTCGTCATAACAATGTCATACAGAACCATACGGAAGTGGTATCAGTTCTTCGTCATGACAATGTCATACAGGGTCACACGGTTGTGGTATCAGTCTTTCGTCAAAACAATGTCATACAGGGTCACACGGTAGTGGTATCAGTCGTTCGTCATAACAATGTCATACAGGGCCATACGGTAGTGGTATCAGTCCTTCGTCATGACAATGTCATACAGGGTCACACGGTAGTGGTATCAGTCCTTCGTCATGACAATGTTAACAGGGTTACACAGTAGTTGTATCAGTCCTTCATCATAACAATGTCATACAGGGCCATACGGTAGTGGTATCAATCCTTCGCCATAACAATGTCATACAGGGTCACACGGTAGTGGTATCTATCCTTCGCCATAACAATGTCATACAGAGCTATAATTCTATATCCCTCTTTGTACTATTTGCACTTACTGGTTGAAAAGATAAAACCAACTGTATGTGTATTTATAAAATCATGTATAGTTATAGAAAAAAGTAAATAACGGCTGCATAGGAGGAGGACTACTTACGGCAAGGGTCGGCTTCTTAAGGAGCTCCGCTATCGTGGCCTTCAATGTCTCGTGCACTTCTTTGCAGGTTTTGAAAGCTTCCTAAAATATTATACGTGTGAGTCAGACGTACACCATATTATTTGATTCTTACAATAGAGTGAAAAGTGCATAAATGTAGCAATTATCTAGTCGGAAGTCTAATGAATGTACTGCTACAATATATTTTTGTCAGTAAAAGCTTCGAGAAAGTACAGGCATGTCAACATAATCTGAATTCAGACTGAAATTATCGAGTAAACTACAGCAAAATATGGACTAAAGAAATGTCGACTTAGAAACCCTCGAAAAATTACTAGAAAACTGATTTAAAATGTAAATTTTAATTGTAAAACTATTTTTGATATATAACAGCCCACTGTAAATAAGGATTTCTTGTTCATAACGGACAACTAGGAATAGTTATACCGTTTATAATATGTTACATATAATCTTATGTATATAACTAGATAACGAGCTACTGTTATAACGATCAACTGTATATAACGACCAACTGTTATAACGACCAACTGTATATAACGACCACCCGTATATAACGACCATCTGTTATAACGACCAACTGTGTATTAATACCATCTGTATATAACGACCACCTGTATATAACGACCATCTGTATATAACGACCAACTGTTATAACGACCAACTGTATATAACGACCATCTGTTATAACGACCAACTGTATATAACGACCAACTGTATACAAAAAAAAGCGACGACCAAGCTATTACCATGAGGATGGTACACAGGAACTGGATTATGTTCTCCTCTTCAAAGTCATAGTCATCTTCTAGTGCCTCCTTAGCGTCCACCCACTCTTGGCTTTCCAAGCTCGTGTACAGCATGGCCACGTTGCTAGGACGACAGCGTTCGCTCAATGTTTCAGTCTGGAGCCGTCCCCCGGAACGGCATCGGTCAATAGTTTCCACGTTACCCTGACTCATGCTACGAGCTTTTGGTATTGGCTTTGCAACTGGTTTTGGTGGCAATGGTTTCGGACTGGTTGGCAATGGTTTCACACTTTGTGTCACTCTATAAAGTAAACAAGTTCGTGCATAATAAATGGGAAAATTGTTAATTATTTAATGAAGGTCATATCAAGGACAAATCCGAATAATCAACTTTCCGTGAAGTCTAAAAAAAGCAATACATTTGTATAGTTCCTTCGTATCGGTCATTAAATACAGTATATTATCGTGAATACTGACTCATGGTTTATTGTGATCGAGGTTTTACCCAGAAATGACAGACATAGCTTTACAAAGAAGGTCATAAAGTGGACGTTTTTTAGAAGAAAACGTGTTTTGATTTCTCATGTAATTTCCAACTTGCCTTTGTTTTAAAGTATCGTTTTCCGTTTTGGCCGTCTTCAGGCTGTCTTCCATGAGTCGATACTCTTTGAGAATGGTTTCCATGGATTTCTGTGTTGTCTCCAGTGCAACCTTTGACCTCTTATACTCGTCCTGAACGCTAGCAGCCACTGCCTCCATCTCGCGGACCGTCGACTCAAGTTTCTCGTTCCGGTTGCGGAGAATCTCATTATCATGCTTCGACTTATGAAGCTCTGCAATAATAACCTCGCCAGGACCCTGTGTCTTGGTAATAGAACCGGAAGTCCCCCTGTCATCTTGACTCTTACCTTTCTTCAGGAGTTCATTTTCGCGTTTCAGCTCCTCTAACTTCGTCCAAAGTTGACCCATGCCCCCTGACCCACGGGCCTGCCTTGGAGGAGTGGACTTTGTGCCTGATGATTTTTGGTTTTCTGCCATCAGGGCCTCCACCAGTGTTTTTGCTTTCTCCAATAGGTGGCGTGTCTGGGCATCACGTTTCTTAAGCATGAACACGTTTGAGAGCCCATCACAGAAGCTCTTTGCTTCTGCCAATAAATCCTTCTTATCTGCCATTTTTTTAATGTTCCTGTAAAAACACAAATAGTAGATTTGAACTCCTCATAGTTGTCGATGTGTTCAATGTATTCAAAGAAAACATTTCATGTGTAAATGTTTTGCAGATATTTGACAATGCTCGACATTTTTTTCATGATCGTAACTTATAAAAAAAAATTGATGCATTTGACCCGTATCTCAATAACAATATAATATGATTATATGTCCACGTAAAGTATACGATTTTAAATATTTCAGCGTCCGTCGAGAATACAACAATGCATGGCTTGACGGTGTAATTGTATTTGTCGTTTATTTAAAAAAACTACCCATTATCAGGGATCGTGAACAGACAGTATATGTTAAGGAGTACGTATGGTAAAGACTATTGATTTTGACTCACGTATCTGCTTCACCACATGGAACAATGACAGACATACAATAATACGGTGTTCGTAACGTAGGGAAATAGATATAAAACCTTTGGAATCCTTCAGGGATCCTTCGGAGCTTCTCCAAATAGAAAAAGCTTATACAGGGAACACGTGAAAATTTCGAAATTGCGAAACGCAATGACACGTCATTTTGAACGCCCTGTAGATGGGTCAGTAGGCTCGAAAATGTACGCTAACCTATGGCGTCTGTGACAAAAAAAAAACAAAAACGAAAAAATAGAGAAGGCTGAAAGGTCTCTTTAATCACCCGTGCTAGAGTCGGTATCCCGGATATCCGGATTATACAGGTTCTGCTGTAAAAAGAATCTTCATCGATTGAGTAACCCATGTTATTTAAACATGGCTCGTGAAATTCTGTTCATGCTCTTATACGAGACAAAGATTGTTTCTCCAATGTATCTAAATAACAATGGAGACATCAAGATTTAGATATATAGCCTGACAGCATGAGGCGACTAATGTGGACCTAAGGCAGAAGTGGAGGAGGTTTCTGCTGTATGGATATTGCACATGCAAAGAATAAGATCAAGTAACATGTTGGTAAAAGACGTCCAATCTAGAGTCCCTTGTATATTATGCGATGCTATCTAAAGAGGCAACTAATGTGGTAGACTTTATAGAATCAGGGATGGTTCCTATTTATAGGACGATATTTACCATTCCATTACTACAATATAACCTGATTATGTTGTGTATTCCCAGCTCATGAACTGCCAACACTGCAGGGATATTGCAAGTAAAGGAAATAATCACAATAATATATTACACAGACTTTATTTGGTATTCAGACTTGATCAATTCAACATTACACGCTTCAACGAATTTGCCCTATCCAGTTTCATATTGCCCATTAGTGTTATTTGGAAGCAGTTCAGTATTTGAATGAGTCTGATGTATCCTACGGTTGCTATCCTATGATGTGACAGATGTGGTGGTCCCTGGAGTATCGGGAGTTTTGCCCTGTCTCCCATACCACAACACCTCAGTACCGAGTACAACATCCCAGTGCTGGTTACAACCTCCCAGTACTGATTACAACATCCCAGTACTGGTTACAACCTCCCAGTACTGATTACAACCTCCAAGTACTGGTTACAACCTCCCAGTACTGGTTACAACCTCCCAGTACTGGTTACAACATCCCAGTGCTGGTTACAACCTCCCAGTACTGGTTACAACACCCCAGTACTGGTTACAACCTCCCAGTACTGGTTACAACACCCCAGTACTGATTACAACATCCCAGTACTGGTTACAGCATCCCAGTACTGATTACAACCTCCCAGTACTGATTACAACACCTAGTACTGATTACAACATCCCAGTACTGATTACAACACCTAGTACTGATTACAATATCCCAGTACTGATTACAACACCTAGTACTGATTACAACATCCCAGTACTGGTTACAACATCCTAGTACTGATTACAACCTCCCAGTACTGGTTACAACATCCTAGTACTGATTAAAACCTCCCAGCACTGATTACAACATCCTAGTACTGGTTACAACATCCTAGTACTGGTTACAACATCCCAGTACTGGTTACAACATCCTAGTACTGGTTACAACATCCCAGTACTGGTTAAACCTCCCAGTACTGATTACAACATCCCAGTACTGATTACAACATCCCAGTACTGGTTGCAACCTCCCAGTACTGATTACAACATCCCAGTACTGGTTACAACCTCCCAGTACTGATTACAACATCCCAGTGCTGGTTACAACACCTCGGTACTGATTACAACATCCCAGTACCGATTACAACATCCTAGTACTGGTTACAACACCCCAGTACCGATTACAACATCCCAGTACCTTACAACATCCCAGTACCGATTACAACACCCCAGTAATGGTTACAACATCCCAGTACTGGTTACAACCTCCCAGTACTGATTACAACATCCCAGTACTGATTACAACATCCCAGTACTGGTTGCAACCTCCCAGTACTGATTACAACATCCCAGTACTGGTTACAACCTCCCAGTACTGATTACAACATCCCAGTACTGGTTACAACACCTCGGTACTGATTACAACATCCCAGTACCGATTACAACATCCTAGTACTGGTTGCAACCTCCCAGTACTGATTACAACATCCCAGTACTGGTTACAACCTCCCAGTACTGATTACAACATCCCAGTACTGGTTACAACACCTCGGTACTGATTACAACATCCCAGTACCGATTACAACATCCTAGTACTGGTTACAACATCCTAGTACTGGTTACAACACCCCAATACTGGTTACAACACCCCAGTACCGATTACAACATCCCAGTACCTTACAACATCCCAGTACCGATTACAACACCCCAGTAATGGTTACAACACCCCAGTACTGGTTACAACATCCCATTACTGGTTACAAAATCCCAGTACTGGTTACAACACCTCGGTACTGATTACAACATCCAAGTACCGATTACAACACCCCAGTACTGGTTACAACATCCCAGTACTGGTTACAACACCCCAGTACTGATTACAACATCCCAGTACTGATAACAACATCCCAGTACTGGTTACAGCATCCCAGTACTGGTTACAGCATCCCAGTACTGATTACAACATCCCAGTACTGATAACAACATCCCAGTACTGGTTACAGCATCCCAGTACTGGTTACAACCTCCCATTACTGGTTTCAACCCCCCAGTACCGATTACAACATCCCAGTACTGATTACAACACCCCAGTACTGATTACAACATCCCAGTACTGGTTACAACACCCCAGTACGGATTACAACACCCCAGTACTGATTACAACATCCCAGTACTGGATACAACATCCCAGTATTAATTACTCCACCTCAGTACTAATTACTCCATCCCAGCACTAATTACTCCATCCCAGTACTAATTACTCCATCCCAGTACTATTAACTCAATCCCAGTACTAATTACTCCATCCCATTACTAATTACTCAATCCCAGCACTAATTACTCCATCCCAGTACTATTAACCCAATTCCAGTACTAATTACTCCATCCCATTACTATTAACCTCATCCCAGTACTACCTAATCCATCCCAGTACTAACTACTCCATCCCAGAACTAATTACTCCATCCCAGTACTAATTGCTCCACCCCACTACTACCTAATCAATCCCAGTACTAATTGCTCCATCCCAGTACTACCTAATCCATCCCAGTACTAATTGCTCCATCCCAGTACTACCTAATCCATCCCAGTACTAATTGCTCCATCCCAGTACTACCTAATCCATCCCAGTACTAATTGCTCCATCCCAGTACTACCTAATCCATCCCAGTACTAATTGCTCCATCCCAGTACTACCTAATCCATCCCAGTACTAATTGCTCCATCCCACTACTACCTTATCCATCCCAGCACTAATTACTCTATCCCAGTCCTAATTATTCCTTCCCAGTTTCCTCAATCCTGCCATCTCATCGATGCAACATTTCTGGTGTTATATTTTCAATCTTTAAGCTGGTTTATTTTTTTTTAAAATATGTTCCCTAAAATGGCGCACATGTTTAGCTATATTCTAGAGAATACAACAGGGTAGTTCTTTTTCCATACCCAATAATGATTGCGGCTTCACCATTTTCAGCAATAAGAGGATTATGTCAGCCGATGGTTCAGAACTCATTCCGGGAATTTCAGGTATGGTAAGGTCAACAGGTCACGAGATGTATTTAATGAATTTAAGTTATCAGTCATGCATAATTTAATTAAACGGTCATTTCAAATTAATTAATGTATATTTTGATTAGGTTTCGAAATAAGATCTTTACTTGCTATTGTTGTCAGATTTCATCTCGCGTCATCGCATTATTTCTTATCATTCTGTTATGATCGATGACGTAAAACACTAACTGACTAAACAGCCTGGCGACTCACAGGGATGGGCGCATGTTCAGGTACTTTTCTTCACGATTAATAACAAATATTGATTTCTGAACAGACACACAAAATACTAAAAACATTGCCAATTGTGCTAAATGACAGAATGATCATAGTAGGATCTTTTTTATCACTAAGCGGATAAATTAACCAACATACTGATCTCCACAAGTAGAAGAGTATTAGACAGATGAGGTCGGACCAGACGTCAATCAATACAGCCTACAGCAGAGAATATGTGTAGACGATGACAAATCACAGGGATGGTGACGTGCAAAATAAATTGTTATAGGATAAAATATATGTGGCGCAGTTTGGGAGTCATAGGTTCAACCTAGGCAAGTTAACAGCTCACAAAAGGAAATGTCACAGGAACGATGAAAATAAAAGTTGAGGATATGAATTTTACAAATGAAAACACAATTAATTGTACATGTAGCATTTAAATACACAAGTATGCTATCACAGGGAGAAAAAGAACGGTAAAACTGAAGAAATTCTGTTAGAGAATCGGAAAAGATGGAATTAAGCTCTAACCTTGCTCTTGAAATCATACGCATCTTTATCAAACTATAGAGAAGGCTGGATGATGGGGTATGGACGGGGTTTGTGCAAGCTCTTAGGGAATCACTTTACACAAAACTAAGGTACAAACCTAAATAAAACACCAAAATCAGCCTCTCAAATGTTAATGGTCACCAAAACAATGTTACGGACCTAAGGGTCGGACGTTCATTGAGTACACTCCTTGTTATAATAAACGAATTCGTCCTCATCGACATACCTACCCTATCCAACCCTGTCCCTCTGCCCATCCCACATTCTAACACTCACAACATAAAATATGTTTACAAGTCCGAAATCAAACACAGACAAACGCCAGCATCTCAAAAGCAATGTTATGTATAGTGATCCTTATCACAACAACCACAATACATCTCCATCTCCTGCGAAGGCGAGATGGCGACATGTTTAATCTGTGACCTTACCTCCAAAACACGTGTGTCGTCTGTCGTTCGTATTGAGTTTGGCGCTGATTTCAAGCACCGTTATATCGTGGAATAGGGGCGTTGACGTCCCAGATATGACAATGCTGACAAATCTTCGGTTCTAGATATCTGAAGACCATGCCATAATGGCACCACATGCATATGATTACAGGAAGTTCAGCACTACAAGTATTTCAACCAACAGCTGATCCTCAGACCAAATTCTCCATAATCGTTTCCACCAGGTCGGCGTCGCCTTGTCGCTGGGATCGAGGAGGAAGGTGACTGTGTATCGGGGAAGAACTATCAACCGGTATCGATCTTGGCATAATTAATGTGGCAACTACACACGGATTGGAAACGGAAACGAGGGAAAAATCGATGAAACTGGAAAGTAGGCACACGTCCAGTACATCAGTGCGGAGTACCTCGTCTGCTTCCAACGGAAACAAAGACAAGCAGTGCTCAACATGGCTGACAGTGCCAAGGACGCACAAAATGGCGACTCAGGCAAGGCCTTGGAACAGGAGCAAGAGCAGGACCAAGCCCCGGGGCAGGAAGGTGCAACTAATACTCCAGAAAACGAACAGGAAGTAGTTGAACCCGAGGAGGACCCCTACAAAATTGTGGCTGCCATAGACTTTGGAACGACTTTTAGTGGCTATGCTTATACATTTGTGTCCAATCGTGACGTCATATATACCAACAAGAATTGGGGACAAACACAAGGTTTTCTGCTTCATAAGACTCCTACCTCTCTACTTCTAAGACCTGACGGTCAGTTCGAGGCGTTCGGGTTTGAGGCTGTGTCGAAATACAATGACTTATCAGAGGAAGAAGCTGCCGAATATTATTACTTCGACAGGTTCAAGATGAACCTTTACGACAACAAGGTACCGTCATATTAATGTCGCATATTCTTTTAAGATATGTCTTCTAAACTTTGTCATTCAAGCAATGCGGTTGATACTTGCAAATGCAACGTATTTGCAAAATATCTGTTGAATGTATGTAATGTTGATACGTTATGCAAGTGAATTTTTGTAGATTTACATGGAAAAATTTGTAGATTTTTAATGAGAATGCATGTTCGTACTGGAAAGTGTCAACAGTCTGGAGTGGCCGTTTTACAAAATTGAGTTACACTACTATGGTAACAGCTTCGTTTACAGTATAAACCCCAATATTGCTTGATTTAAACTCTAGGTAAAATGTCAAAAAGTCATAACTCGCATAAATAATGAAAATATCAGACAAATACATAACGGTCGTCCACGTGTTGTCAAATACGTTCCGAGCATGCCGCTGTCATAGAAATGAAGCATCGTACCACAGCACGACATCACACAATTATACCTCAGGCTCATACATGACCTTAACAATTACAAATGCTGTTGTCAACATGCTGAACATTTTTAAAACGATATTATATCATTATATTAAGATTCATTCCACGATCTCTGGTAGCAAATCGATATGAGGCGATGTGCTCATTTTTAGGAAATCTCGCACGGTGGTTGTCACTATAATATCCCCATTGTGATCTACCTGTTTGGATTAACAACGAAATTTTTGCCATTTGAAATCTGATGATTTTATTCAAGTTGTCTTATACCAGATCAAACTGTTTTATCATAATATCCTATGATATCACTACTTGTGTTGACGCCAGGAGTGTTGGGTGATTCGTGTCATGCTCTTGGGGAGTATTGGTAGACACAATATGATCAATAAACAAACACGTTCAGCGATGACAGAATAAAAATATACAGAAATAGATATGATTTTGCTAGCCTTTTGATACCACATATCTAGGGATATATTCAGATATCTTTAGGAGCAAACCGTTTTCTATCGAATACAACAATTGTAGTTTAACTTCCCGATGGCATCAATAAAGACCATGGCTCTTTTAAACAATGATACTGAAAAGACAAGGTCATCAACTGTCGTGGTGATTACAACCGTTGCCATGGCATCGGTATCGCGTTTCTATAATTGATCAACGGAGGCGCGTGGAATGATATCGATTTCACTTTGCAATCTATTATAAATGTCTATGCATTCCGGTTAATTCTGAAATACGCACACGCGTGTACGTGAGAATCGATCGTAAACACTGAAATCGATCCTTCTGTTAGTCATTGACGGGGAAAGTTAAATACGATGAATCATGTTAGTGAGTAAAAATTCATAATGTACGTGTGGTCTTACACGTGAATGATAAACAGATGTTAGAAATTAAGATTGTAATCAAAACTAGAAGAAACTCAACATCTACACCTAATTATCCTCATCATTGTGTGAAAGCTCCAAATTCCGTCTGTCCGTTACTATCTTTATGTTTGATAAATTCCGTCTGTCCGTTACTATCTTTATGTTTGATAAATTCCGTCTGTCCGTTACTATCTTTATGTTTGATAAATTCCGTCTGTCCGTTACTATCTTTTTTATGTATATATATCTCCGTCTCATAGTTTAATATCAGCTTTAAGGTCCATAATCTGACAGTAGGTGCTTTAGACTCGTCAAATCGAAGCCTAGTTGTGAATTTTATTCCTGGGATACACGTAATGACGTTGGATTTTGTTAAGACACGATATTTTATGAACAATTGAACACCATTTCTTTGATGGTGTAATGTAAACATTTAGCCATTTTGAATAGAGTTTTTCCAAATCTTTCCGAAATGACATTTAACAACATGCAGTATTTTGTTTTATATCATTGTGTGAATACATTATCTAATACAAATTTGTTCTTTTTTAACCTGCTGGCTACGTTTTAATTCATTCCAATAATGGCACGGTTCAGAATATGCACATGTACACGACACTGTTCTACATTTATCTGATATATAGAAATTACAAGATTTATTCTGTCACGGGACTGCTGTATCTCCCAGTCTTGATTTTGACTTTTCTTTCGATAACTTTAAATTTTCCTTATTTGCCTCCGAGGCTTCAAATTTTAGTCCCTTAGCATCGTTGACGAAACAGCTGTATGGTGTATCATCACTGACGACTCCTAGAAGGACGAAACAGTTGTATTGTGTATTATCACTGACGAGTCCTAGAAGGAGGAAACAGCTGTATGGTGTACCATCACTGACGACTCCTAGAAGGACGAAACAGTTGTATTGTGTAGTGTAATGCATTGTTTAGCTCTACTGTATCTAACTCTAAATTATTAAAGGGTGCTATTGGCTTCTGTACAATTTCCGACAGTTTAAGTCACGATTCTTAAGTTGACAATGCTTTTTATTGTTAAGATCGTAATATCCAGCACCAACGTCCGTCTACTGCTAAATGTTACTTCATTCCTTAGAGATGGTATCTGCATATTCCAACAACAGAGAATGTTTCATTGTCTGTGGCTTTGAAGCACATCACGTCGATTACAGCGACCGTGGAAATTCATGGGTTCTTAATATCCCATTGATTTTGTTCCATACCTGATCCACTTAAGACCATCTTTCTCGGTTAATTGGAAAGTTCCTTGGTTAGTTCAGTTCAAACTCCGGAAGAGTTTGTGGGTCCAAGTTTTCGGAAAATCTCGTGATTTATTGGTAGTGCGGCGGTGGAGAGTTTAGTCGCAGGTTAACCGGGAATTCTCATGAGTTATTGGTAGTCTGGCGTTAGAGAATTTGGCTCTTAAGTGTTCGTTTGGGAATTAACTTTATTCGCGTCTGTGGGAACATTCCCGGAACCCATGGTTCATGAATCATTCAGGAACGGACCTTTCTAACTAAAGAGTAGTGTTGCTGTTTAAAACATGATGTTCACGGAGTGAAAATTTTCTCAAATTAACACTGATTGAATTAGCGTTATACATTGAAAATCCTTGTACCATGTTTAATGAAACTTGCTGAAACGGAACATTAACTTAAGGAATTGCAATAAAACAGGTAAATAACCCAGATAATAACATCTCCTTTTACATAGTACAACACAACAAATGGTCTTTGTCTCTGAAACAGATCTCCAAATCAACGAATACAAACCTTCGTAAATTTGGAAAATTTAACATCGCATATAAATATCTTACATGATGATGACACAATTGGCTTTCTCCTGCTGAAGAAAGACCATTTAGCTGGCAGTGATTCTGTGATCGTATTACCAAGTACATAAATCATGACGAAAGCATGCAGCATATGCACAAGATGTACAAAATCTTTCTGAAGCACTAAGATTTTTATTCTGGATACCAAATATTTGTAATATTTGTCGTTAACTGTAAACTCACCAACTAAAACAAAAATACTTTTCTGTGTTATTAAGAGATTACTAATCATATCTAAACATTAAACATCAGACAAAAAATGTTTTAAAAAACAAATAATCCTACTTTCATTTAACATAAAGCAAAATGTTTTGAAGAACGTATAAATTATCTTTGGATGTCAAAATCAAACACATTCATTTTTTTGACAGGAGCTGAAGACGGACATTACCTTACAGGACACTTCCGGAAAGGAGCAGCTCGCCGTTGATGTTTTTGCCAAATCTCTGGGCTTCATGAAATCTCACTTCCTACGTCATTTGAGCGTGTCCCTGGGGTACGAACCCGACCCACAGTCCGTCCGCTGGGTTATCACAGTACCTGCCATCTGGGACGAAAACGCAAAGCAGTTTATGAGGGAGGCAGCACACAAGGTATCTTTCTCTTCATTTGTATTGGTTCTTTCACAAGAAAACTTGAGAATTTGAGATCATATCAACCTCAAAATAATGGGTGTTATTTGTGATCCATTTATGCATCTAATTTATTCTAATAGGGCGGTCTCATTGACACAACATATAGTAACCAACTAGTCATCGCACTGGAGCCGGAAGCAGCATCACTCAATTGTAGATCACTTCCGGTTAGCACCTTCGTCCAGACAGAAAATGAACAAGTGTCAAAGCTGACGTTTGAACCAGGGACTAAATACCTCGTCATTGACGCAGGAGGTATGTTTTGAGTACAAAATATGGAGTAAAATGCATTTTCAAACCACTTTTCTTTTTCTATTTATTTTACCAACAAATTAGTGGAATTAATGTCATACGTTAATCTGGAAATCCACTTTTCCGAAATTTATTTGTTAATTTTGTTCACAAAATTAGCCCAGCATCCACTTTTATACTCTTCTGTTCTCTTCACAGGTGGTACTATAGATATTGTAGCCCACAAGGTCCGTAAAGACGGTCGTATTCGGGAGCTCTTCCGCGCCACAGGTGGTGCCTGGGGTGGGACAGTCATAGACCGTCAGTTTATTTCAATGCTCGACAAGATTTTTGGCGTTGAATTTATTGCCGCCTTCCAGCACGAGTTTCCAAAGGATTATGTCGAGCTATTACAGGACTTCGAGATAAAGAAACGTGGCGAATGTGAAAGTGTGCGCGTGTCGCTGCCCTACAACTTTTGTAACTTCCGGCATGAAGGAAGGTCTGTACAGGAGTGTATCAAGTCGTATGCCGCGTCGGAGGGCGGACGGGTCAAATTCTCATCGGGAAAACTTGTATTGTCCTCAGAGGTGGTCACAGACTTGTTCTGTGACGCACTCAAACAGATAAACGATCACGTGAGTCATCTTCTTCAAAGGCCAAAGTTAAAGGACTTAAAATACATGTTCCTCGTTGGTGGGTTCGCCGAGTCAGTTCGCCTTCAGAACTCTATTCGATCAGAATTTGGGAAACAGGTGACAGTCCTGATACCGGAGGAAGCTAGCTTGTCTGTCGTCAAGGGGGCCGTGGCATTTGGTTGCGATCCTAGTGCCATCTGCCAACGAATTTGTCGGTACTCATATGGAGTGGGATCGTACCTTCCTTTCGAGGAGGGTGAACACAGAGACGATCTGAAAGTCGACTCGGACGGAATGGTGCTATGCAAACACATATTTCAGACTTGGGCCGAAACTGGAGAGGTCATAGGTCATAACGAAATTTGGCGGGAAACATATACGCCAATCATTACAAATCAAAAAGGCATTATTTTCGAGTTTTTTAAGTCGTCCAAACGCCGACTTAAATACACAGATGAAGACGGAGTGGAGAAATGTGGCTGTCTAGTAGTGGAAATGCCCGATCTGACAGGGGACAAGGAGCGTGCTGTTGACCTCGAGGTCATATTCGGGGGCACAGAAATCAAGGTCGTCGGGTACGACCACACCAGCCAAACTCGGCGGGAAACATACATTGATTTCCTGTCCACGTAGTGCTTAATATGGCACGTGTAAATGGTCAAAATTCGTGAAAATGCCCTAACTACAGGTTGTGACTGAATCCGAAAATGGAGCACTGGGAATCAGCCATCTTTTCTGCACTCTGTCAATATACATGTACTTTTAACGGACGTGTTTCCACGTGCTCCAGGTCGACTATCATTGTAACACCTTTACAGTGCCATTTCCCGTAGCCCAAATACTAAGCCCCATTAGTGTGATCAAGATGTCATCAGACCTGTATATTTGTACATTTGTCAGCATGGTGCCAAAATTGCTCAAATGGCATCTAACACATAGCCCTTTGCCTTTTATCTTCCAATGTTTTGTAGTGCCTTCGCTTGCATGTACCTAAATATAATATGGAAGCAGGTACTTCACATAACTGCAAAACAAAATGGCTATCGTGATATATATAGTATTAAATTCGATTAATAAATCAACTAAACCTGAAGTATTTAGTCTTGTGTCTTGTATTCACCAGCCTCTATACGACACTTCTGTAGAAGCTACTACAGTATAATGTTTGTGTATCTTGTATTCAGTCTTGTATCTTGTATTTAATCTTGTGTCTTGTATCTAGTCTTGTATCTTGTATTTAGTCTTGTCTTGTATTTAGTTGTGTCCTGTATTCAGTCTTGTATCTTGTTTTCAATCTTGTATTCAGTCTTGTCTTGTATTTAGTCCTGTATTGTATTTAGTCTTGTATCTTGTATTCAGTCTTGTGTCTTGTTTTCAATCTTGTATTCAGTCTTGTCTTGTATTTAGTCTTGTATCTTGTATTTAGTCTTGTATCTTGTTTTCAATCTTGTATTCAGTCTTGTGTCTTGTATTCAGTCTTGTGTTTTGTATTCAGTCTTATGTTTTGTATTCAGTCTTGTGTCTTGTATTCAGTCTTGTATCTTGTATTTAGTCTTGTATCTTGTTTTCAATCTTGTATTCAGTCTTGTCTTGTATTTAGTCCTGTCTTGTATTTAGTCTTGTATCTTGTATTTAGTCTTGTCTTGTATTCAGTCTTGTGTCTTGTATTTAGTCTTGTGTCTTGTATTCAGTCTTGTGTTTTGTATTCAGTCTTGTATCTTGTATTTAGTCTTGTCTTGTATCTTGTATTTAGTCTTGTCTTGTATTCAGTCTTGTGTCTTGTATTCAGTCTTGTGTTTTGTATTCAGTCTTGTATCTTGTATTCAGTCTTGTATCTTGTATTTAGTCTTGCCTTGTATCTTGTATTTAGTCTTGTATCTTGTATTCAGTCTTGTGTCTTGTATTCAGTCTTGTGTTTTGTATTCAGTCTTGTATCTTGTATTCAGTCTTGTATCTTGTATTTAGTCTTGCCTTGTATCTTGTATTTAGTCTTGTATCTTGTTTTCAATCTTGTATTCAGTCTTGTCTTGTATTTAGTCCTGTCTTGTATTTAGTCGTCTTGTATTTAGTCTTGTGTCTTGTATTCAGTCTTGTATTTTGTATTCAGTCTTGTATCTTGTATTTAGTCTTGTCTTGTATCTTGTATTTAGTCTTGTATCTTGTATTCAGTCTTGTGTCTTGTATTCAGTCTTGTGTTTTGTATTCAGTCTTGTATCTTGTATTTAGTCTTGCCTTTTATCTTGTATTTAGTCTTGTATCTTGTTTTCAATCTTGTATTCAGTCTTGTCTTGTATTTAGTCCTGTCTTGTATTTAGTCTTGTCTTGTATTTAGTCTTGTGTCTTGTATTCAGTCTTGTGTTTTGTATTCAGTCTTGTATCTTGTATTTAGTCTTGTATCTTGTATTCAGTCTTGTGTCTTGTATTCAGTCTTGTGTTTTGTATTCAGTCTTGTATCTTGTATTCAGTCTTGTATCTTGTATTTAGTCTTGTATCTTGTATTTAGTCTTGTATCTTGTATTCAGTCTTGTGTTTTGTATTCAGTCTTGTATCTTGTATTCAGTCTTGTGTCTTGTATCTTGTATTTAGTCTTGTCTTGTATCTTGTATTTAGTCTTGTCTTGTATCATGTATTTAGTCTTGTATCTTGTTTTCAATCTGGTATTCAGTCTTGTCTTGTATTTAGTCCTGTCTTGTATCTTGTATTTAGTCATTTGTCTTGTATTTTATTTAGTCTTGTATCTTGTTTTCAATCTTGTCTTGTATTCAGTCCTGTCTTGCATTTAGGATTGTATCTTGTATTTAGTCTTGTGTTTTGTATTCAGTCTTGTATCTTGTATTTAGTCTTGTCTTGTATTTAGTCTTGTATCTTGTATTCAGTCTTGTGTTGTATCTTGTATTTAGTCTTGTATTCAGTCTTGTGTCTTGTATCTTGTATTTAGTCTTGTATTCAGTATTCATTCTTGTGCCTTGTATTTAGTCTTGTCTTGTATTTAGGATTGTATCTTGTATTTAGTCTTGTCTTGTATTTAGGATTGTATCTTGTATTCAGTCTTGTGTATTGTATTTAGTCTTGTATCTTGTATTCATTCTTGTGTCTTGTATTTAGTCTTGTATTCAGTATTCATTCTTGTGTCTTGTATTTAGTCTTGTATTCAGTATTCATTCTTGTGTCTTGTATTTAGTCTTGTATCTGGTATTTAGTCTTGTGTATTGTATTTAGTCTTGTATCTTGTATTCATTCTTGTGTCTTGTATTTAGTCTTGTATTCAGTATTCATTCTTGTGTCTTGTATTTAGTCTTGTATTCAGTATTCATTCTTGTGCCTTGTATTTAGTCTTGTCTTGTATTCAGTATTCATTCTTGTGTCTTGTATTTAGTCTTGTATTCAGTATTCATTCTTGTGCCTTGTATTTAGTCTTGTATCTGGTATTTAGTCTTGTGTATTGTATTTAGTCTTGTATCTTGTATTTAGTCCCGTATCCATCAGTCTCTTTATGACACTTCTATAGAAGTTACTACTTTATAATGTATTAATCTTGTTTTTACTTTCTGTCTGTTATTACGATGACCTGTAGGCCTTTCAGAGTTGGAGTAGCCAAATAAAATGTATTATTGGGCCGCTGGGGTCTTATCCAAATGGGAACTCTTCTGCTGCTGAGAACACAGATAAAATCAAAATTGATGTATTATCCCAGTCATCAGTATTTTTGAAGGATTTTCAAGGCAAGTAGAGAACACCCAGTTCTAAAATTGTGACAAGTCCCAATACTAAGTGATAGAGTAGTAAATCACAATTTGTGTGTCCCAGAGGTAAAGCACCAGGACTCAAATATCGCAGTCCCAAGGGTCAAAGTCAGTGAACTGATCCATTAGATGGTCCCCATCTTAATTTCTTATTCCTTGTATTAATTTTGATTTTGACAAATTCCCCCTGATCTTTGATATCCTAAGGTTCCTTATATTTCTCTGTCCTAATGATAGACAGAACATTCTAATTAAAAATTAACTTTTTTTTTTAATTCTCTGTGGAAGACATATATAACACTATGGACAGACAACATAATTGATATGTCTATTGCAGTACGTATTAACAAATATGAAATATTGTCTCTCCAGAAAATACAAAATCTCAAGATATTCTTTCAGAACTTTTTTATTGAAAATGTTGGCAATGATGCCTTATGAGAGTAGAAAGACTACATGCAGATGTAATATATACTGTACATATGGGCTGGCTAGAGAGCAGGTCCATGTCATAACACATGTGTACCATGTAACAATATGTGGACACTCAAAAAAATACATCCTTTTTTGGTTTAGAGAGTACATTGATACTCAAAAATATAGCAAATTTTCTCAAAAAAATATATCCTTTTTTGGTTTAGAGAGTACATTGATACTCAAAAATAGAGCAAATTTTCTCAAAAAAATATATCCTTTTTTGGTTTAGAGAGTACATTGATACTCAAAAATATAGCAATTTACTTTTCAAAAAAGTACCCCTTAACAAGGACTGTTTCATAAAAATATTAACAGAAATCGGAGGACTTCACCAGAATGAGATTTCAAAGTTTTCATATTTTGATCTCTTAGAAGAAAGCATTTATTCAAGGCACTTAAAAAGAAAATTCAACAAGACTGTCCATTAAAATGAGGTTTGATGACTGTTTTCTCAAAATATAACTCTATATGAAATGACTGAATAATAATTAAGAATCAAGCAAGGTGTCGGTGAAGACTTTCTTGACTGGAATGATTCATTAAATCTTTTACAACTTCCTATTGACAGATGGGAAAAACTAAATTACAGATAAGTCAATTTTCAATTCATTCTAAAATATTTAAACTTTTGATATGTAGAACAAATCTGTGATCTGCAATATGGTGAAATTAATTAACCATTTAAATGGAATTTATTCAAAATAAACACAATGAAAATTAATTTGTTTTTGGCAAAAATTGCGCACAGCTCAACACAACACTGGCCTGACTCAGCAAAATATATTTATAATACAATTATAGCCCAATTAAAGTTGAGACAAAAGCAAATGTAATCATGTGCTGATGAACTTAGCAAGAAAACACCCACGAAACAAGACCAAATGTATTAACTCTGAAACAGCGAAGGATTAAATATGAAAGTTATGACCATATACACTATATTACTCATGTTTCTGGACACAACAACTTAAACCATCATCACATAGAAGCTTGATGAAATAAACCTGAAACCTTGATAGGATCAATACTAAGTAAGATTTTCTGAGGACAAACCGCTTTTTTCTATAAAGTAGAAACTTCCTGTAAATGGTGTTTCACAGTTTTTCATTCACTATTCATTAAGAAACATTTAACATAGGAAAATATCACAATAAACTTCGAATCGACAAGTTACAATACCTTTCGTAAAATGGGAAAGCTTTTGGTGAAAAAAAATCATTATATACACGATTTACAAAAAACAAATGTAAGAGAAAAAGGACAATTTCTAAACTGAAATCTTTATCAATGAAATGCCTTCTCACAAAACGTGGAACAGATGACTAGCACTAATAACATTTGTCGATGTAAACGATCGTCTGCGATGTTTTTTATCTATTCTACTAAAATGCCCAGTTATTATAATGTCAATATCACTTTTCTTTCTGCCTTTCAAGTATTAGTGTAGTACATTAGTTTCAAAAATAAACCTAAACCAGAGTACCAATATTCTTTGCTCTTTTTAACACAATCAGATAGTTTGATATATAATTTGTGAAGAAATGTTATTTTATTCTCCATCGAACAAAAATTATGATAATTCCCTAAAAGTTGTTTGTTTTCACTGCTTTAAATCAATACTCCTGAACTAAAGGACCGATACTCTTAAACCAAAGTTCTACACTCCAACCCAGGTAATAGTAATCTCAAACATAGCATACTCTCTAACCAAAGAAATGATTACATTTAATTATCAATGAAAATTCTAGTACAAGAACTCTCCAAGACGGACTGGGTTGTTGACCTTGGTAATGTTTTTCTCCACTAGGCTGCACTTTGAAATGAATGTATCATATATTCTAGTGCACAGACAAATAGCGAAGAGCTGCACAACCATCATGACAGCCAATCCAGTCCATATCAAAGAAAAAAGTTTGGAGCTCTCCAAACACAAGCACAATTACGATCACCAACAGAAGGCAATCAGGAATGCTATCAATCCCTCAAAGTTGTTTTCTAAACTGTTATGTTGATAAAGATCAAACTGGAAAAGTTTGTGAACAAAACATTGAAACGCTTGAGCAACTGTGAACAGGTCCTAACAGTGTTAAAATATGATTATCTATAGAATTGTTAAACAGTATTGCATATGATTATTGCTTTATTGGACTACATGGTATGCACCTATTTACACGACATCAGCCTCCAGGCATTCCTGGTTGTCTAAACTGGACACAGGACTGTTACCATGGACACAGGACTGTTACCATGGATTACATTCTTATGTTGATGTTTACTTGAAAATACATAGAATATCATTCTGTATTGTTTCATCCATGTACTGCATAGTACAAAATTGATAATAACAAACCGTAAAACAGGATGACATATTTACATTTTGACTGAAAGACTTTGTGAAATAAGACAGGTCTAATATTCACTCAGAAATTTAAACAAAAGAACAAAGTTAAATCCATGCTATATTCACCAGGATTTTTCTTCTTCAATACTCGCAAATCCATATCTCACCATGGGAAAGGGAGATAATCTAACACTCAGCCAGTCTCATTTTTGTAACAATATTCTTCACAAATATATAATGCTGTGGACAAAAAAAAGCACATCATATCAATATCTAAGAGGCAATCTTTTAAGTGTTGTAAATTTTCCTTCCTAGCAACTTCTACTTTTAACCTATTTTTGCATCCATTTTTTTTATGTTTCTTGGCACAAAGTTGTGGTCCTTCTTTGTAGTGTTTCTTTCTCCTGTTTTCAAGCAGATCAACCAAAGCATGCCTGGAAACTGACATCAGATTGTCACTCGACCAATCACAAAGTTTCTTCTATGGTAAATTGTTCCCACAGCAACTGTGATTGTATCAGAGTGCTAAAGGTTTTCATCAGAAGTAATAGCAACTTATATTACTTTGCATTCTTCTCTGCTTGGATATCTGAAAGAAAAAAACAAGAAAAACCTTTTAAAGACAAATCAACTTAGGACAAAAATCAACAGCAGGATTTCTGGTTTAATTTTACATAATTAGAATTCTATTTGAGTAATGAATTTGACCTCTGATGTGACCTTCATGTATTACCACAAATAATAAAACAAATAATAAACACAATAAATGTGAAATAAATAAACAATGAATATGAAAAGAATTTTAAATGAATTGCACAAAGCAGCTGTCTCCCTTCCATCACTAAATATGGCTAATTATGAAGATATTTTGTGTACATACCATCTTGAGAAGGTAGTCTATTCTTTTCAGTGGTGTCTGTGCGTTTCATACTATCCTTCTTGAAACTTTTGATACAGTTTTGATGTTCCAATTCTTTTTTCTCTGCTTCAATTGCTGGAAAAAACAAATTTGAGTTTCATTTGCAAAACATATTCCTATGACAAATCACTCCATGAAAGTGTTCATACAGTGTTATCTCCCTTGTATTGAAAATCTTTTCAAAGCACAAATGTCTTTTAGTATGCCTCTTACGAAAGGCTGAAGTGGATAGTCATTTTCTTGATGGAATATCCATATTATTTAAACACTGCCCAGTACCTTAACTTTAATTGGACAAAGTAACTGTGTTAAAATACACTTGATGTAATTACCTGCAGGGTCAGGAAGAGGGTTCTTCTCATTTACTTCTGTTTTTGCAAGCTTGGCTTTGTCAAAATCTGTCAAGGACTTTCTAAATTCTGCCTCTTGTTTCTCAAGACTGATGGCTGTAACAAAAGAGATCTCTTATAATCTTCAACCAATACAGGTAACGCCAGACACTATATATCACATAGTGGACACACTAGACTTCAGCAGGTTACTATGTACAAATGTAAGATAGTGTGATTCATCGAAAGTAAAATTTCATCAGATTTCAAAATAACTAATTATTACTGACACTTTCTATAAAAGTAGTTAATCTATAACACAAACACTGAAAACTACTGAAACAGTGGAGGGATAGACATCGTGACAATTAGACAGCTCACTTCATACTTCCATTCTTTTGCCAAATAGTGAACTCATAAAGACTCATCAGATGCTTTAAAAAGCTAGCAAAGCTGCCGTTTTAAATCACCATTTTTGTAACAGATAAACAGGATAACTTTGTAACACTAATCTGATGAATCTCAATCTCATTATAACTGGTATTGTTGGGTTTTTTGTTGGCCTTTTTCCTTTTCAAACTGCAGTTGAATTTTTCCTTAACTGGTAAATAAATTCAAGAAAATTGAAACTGTCATTTCAAAATGGTGAAAGTTGTTCTAGGAGAAGAAATATTCATTTACCCTCAATAAGTACAAGACACTAATTTGTGATTAATTTATGATACAATGAATTTGCCATAAAGTTAACTGTTTGGTGATTGAACCATCGAAGTTTTACTTCTGAGCTGGTCAAGATGCACTTTGGGAATTGATAGAAGAGGTGACATTAATGTACTTAATTTTATAAGTAACCGTGGACTAAAATAAACTTTGACAAAAAACAATGAAATGATTTTCAAATGAGAGTATCTTGATAAGAAATTCATGAGAGAGATGAAATGGACACTGTCTAATGGTGCTGAAATGTGATATCTGTCCTGGGTCAATATCAATAAGATATTCCCTAAACACAGAAATCAATATCTAGAGTTACTCGGTGACAAACTCAAATTTATTCACGAGAGGGGACTATCTAAATTATCTGATAAACAGATGAGACACATGTCAAGCCAAAAAAACTATTTTCTAACCCAATGGGGCAGGACATCAATCAAATCAACCCATCACTGTGAAATTCTGTCTCATTAACCCTGTCAAACAGGAGGCAGAAAAGGCCTGTGTATTCAAGGCAATATAGTAAGTAAATTTGAATATTGATATACATAAATATGATTTATATGAAGAGGAGATTATGTATAAAGCTACATTTCATGCCTAATCAATTAATCATACATTATAATATCTAATTTTCATTATAATCTGTGATACAAACTACGTGACTGATTTTCATTATAGTCTGTGATACAAACTAGGTGACTGATTTTCATTCTGTGATACAAACTTGGTGACTGATTTTCATTCTGTGATACAAACTAGGTGACTGATTTTCATTCTGCGATACAAACTAGGTGACTGATTTTCATTCTGCGATACAAACTAGGTGACTGATTTTCATTCTGCGATACAAACTCGGTGACTGATTTTCATTATAGTCTGTGATACAAACTTGGTGACTGATTTTCATTATAGTCTGTGATACAAACTAGGTGACTGATTTTCATTATAATCTGTGATACAAACTCAGTGACTGATTTTCATTCTGTGATACAAACTAGGCGACTGATTTTCATTCTGTGATACAAACTAAGTCTGGATACAAACTGACTGATTTTCATTCTGTGATACAAACTGTGATACAAAGGTGACTGATTTTCATTCTGTGATACAAACTAGGTGACTGATTTTCTGTGATACAAACTAGGTGACTGATTTTCATTCTGTGATACAAACTAGGTGACTGATTTTCATTCTGATACAAACTAGGTGACTGATTTTCATTCTGTGATTGATACAAACTTGGTGACTGATTTTCATTATAGTCTGTGATACAAACTAGGTGACTGATTTTCATTCTGTGATACAAACTCGGTGACTGAGGTGACTGATTTTCATTATAGTCTGTGATACAAACTTGGTGACTGATTTTCATTATAGTCTGTGATACAAACTAGGTGACTGATTTTCATTCTGTGATACAAACTCGGTGACTGATTTTCATTATAGTCTGTGATACAAACTTGGTGACTGATTTTCATTATAGTCTGTGATACAAACTAGGTGACTGATTTTCATTATAATCTGTGATACAAACTAGGTGACTGATTTTCATTATAATCTGTGATACAAACTAGGTGACTGATCTGTGATACAAACTCGGTGACTGATTTTCATTATAATCTGTGATACAAACTAGGTGACTGATTTTCATTATAGTCTGTGATACAAACTAGGTGACTGATTTTCATTCTGTGATACAAACTCGGTGACTGATTTTCATTATATTCTGTGATACAAACTAGGTGACTGATTTTCATTCTGTGATACAAACTAGGTGACTGATTTTCATTATAATCTGTGATACAAACTCGGTGACTGATTTTCATTCTGTGATACAAACTAGGCGACTGATTTTCATTCTGTGATACAAACTAGGTGACTGATTTTCATACAAACTAGGTGACTGATTTTCATTATAGTCTGTGATACAAACTAGGTGACTGATTTTCATTATAGTCTGTGATACAAACTAGGTGACTGATTTTCATTCTGTGATACAAACAAGGTGACTGATTTTCATTATAGTCTGTGATACAAACTAGGTGACTGTCTGTGATACAAACTAGGTGACTGATTTTCATTATAGTCTGTGATACAAACTAGGTGACTGATTTTCATTCTGTGATACAAACAAGGTGACTGATTTTCATTATAGTCTGTGATACAAACTAGGTGACTGATTTTCATTATAATCTGTGATACAAACTAGGTGACTGATTTTCATTATAGTCTGTGATACAAACTAGGTGACTGATTTTCATTATAGTCTGTGATACAAACTAGGTGACTGATTTTCATTATAATCTGTGATACAAACTAGGTGACTGATTTTCATTATAGTCTGTGATACAAACTAGGTGACTGATTTTCATTATAATCTGTGATACAAACTAGGTGACTGATTTTCATTATAGTCTGTGATACAAACTAGGTGACTGATTTTCATTCTGTGATACAAACTAGGTGACTGATTTTCATTATAGTTTGTGATACAAACTAGGTGACTGATTTTCATTCTGTGATACAAACTAGGTGACTGATTTTCAATAAGGTGACTGATTTTCATTATAATCTGTGATACAAACTAGGTGACTGATTTTCATTATAATCTGTGATACAAACTAGGTGACTGATTTTCATTCTATAGTCTGTGATACAAACTAGGTGACTGATAGTTGTGATACAAACTAGGTGACTGATTTTCATTCTGTGATACAAACTAGGTGACTGATTTTCATTATAATCTGTGATACAAACTCACTGACTGATTTTCATTCTGTGATACAAACTAGGTGACTGATTTTCATTCTGTGATACAAACTCGGTGACTGATTTTCAGTCTGTGATACAAACTCGGTGACTGATTTTCATTCTGTGATACAAACTAGGTGACTGATTTTCATTCTGTGATACAAACTAGGTGACTGATTTTCATTCTGTGATACAAACTAGGTGACTGATTTTCATTATAATCTGTGATACAAACTAGGTGACTGATTTTCATTATAGTCTGTGATACAAACTAGGTGACTGATTTTCATTATAGTCTGTGATACAAACTCGGTGACTGATTTTCATTATAATCTGTGATACAAACTAGGTGACTGATTTTCATTATAGTCTGTGATACAAACTAGGTGACTGATTTTCATTATAGTCTGTGATACAAACTAGGTGACTAATTTTCATTATAGTCTGTGATACAAACTCGGTGACTGATTTTTATTCTGTGATACAAACTAGGTGACTGATTTTTATTCTGTGATACAAACTCGGTGACTGATTTTCATTAAACATAAAACACTATGGAGTTTTACCTCTCAACAGTATGTTACAGAATCACATGTCTATATTCAGTCTCATTAAAAATTGGACCTGTTTTTTGGGGCAATCAGATAACTAGTTATACTAAAGAACTAAAAACAATTCTAAAATGAAATGTGGTACAGGGAATTTGAATCCATTTACAAGACCCTCTCCAGGGGGCTGACCGGGAGATCATGATAGTACACATTTCTTTTGTTATAGTTTTTACTTGTGTGTTCTTTTAGAAGCATAATTTTGCAGCAGAATACTGCATACTTAAATGTACCTGTAATTGTCCCCTGGTCACAGACTCTTATATTTTATTTGTTATCAATTGTACAGCTGCATAGAGAAGATGTTTTACATGTATAACATTCCACAGTGCACTCATGCTGCACCACAGATACATCAGTGAAACATGTACATAGTATTAACACGAAAAAGGGATATACACAAATATGTTTGTAAACTGGACATTTCAGTGTCTTCAGACATATGCAAACTTAGAGAACAGCAATCTTCTAGAAGGGTAGCCAATCAATCACAACATTGTTTCCCACTTCACAGCTGGGTAGACTAGAATATCATTTTGTTGCAAGACACAGAAAATATTGTTTGATTAAAACATCAACAAAAAGACAGATCAATGCAGAAAAAGTACAGATCCATGCCGTGTGATAATACACAAGTAAATCGGACAAGGTTAGTTACCGCGCCACGTAGGTAAACTATACTTTTCATAAGTGTGAGATCGTTTGAGTTTGGTGTGATTGAATTCCTTGATGGAGGTCTTCAGTGCTTCCTCTCTCTTCTCTGCCAGCAGCACTGACCAAATAAGTACAGAAAAGTGTATACAGGACACTTGGTCACAATAACAACATCCTCACTGCCTCATTATCCTGTCAACCCTTATATCTATTTATAGTTACAACTTCATGTCATGTGTACATGACACTCAATAACAATATAACCCAACAACATCCTCACTGCCTCATTATCCTGTCAACCCTTATATCTATTTATAGTAAACACTTAATGTCATGTCTACACGACACTCTGTAGCAATATAACCCAACATTATCCTGTCAACCCTTATATCTATTTATAGTTACAACTTCATGTCATGCGTACACGACACTCAGTAGCAATATAACCCAACATTATCCTGTCAACCCTTATATCTATTTATAGTTACAACTTCATGTCATGTGTACACGACACTCAGTAGCAATATAACCCAACATTATCCTGTCAACCCTTATATCTATTTATAGTAAACACTCCATGTCATGTGTACAATATAACACCCTCCCGATGGTATGATATTTACGTTTGGCAAAACCCTAATGTACGGTCAAAAAGCTTAATAATACCAAAACCAATATCCCTCCATTACTTCCTACTTTTCAGATAGAAATTTTGAAGAGAAGGAAATCCAGGATTTGCCAAGATCTGAAAAAGTCACAGAGCTTCCTGCATGATATTATTTTTGTTTCTCACTAAAATCTCTGATGACTCTGTAGGCAAATGTTTTTGGCATTTACACAGATATCAATGAAGGCCACACAGATGTGAAAAATACCAAACACTATTAAAACACATAATGCTATCTAAAATAAAAAACAAAATAATGAAACGGACTCCAAGCCAAACCAAAACCTTTTTACCTGTCTACCCGTTTATCTTACATCCCTCCTGATTCAAACATGCCTGGTATTGTATCCTATTTTCTGGTCAATGGATTTTTAGATACAGAGAAATATTGTGTTAGCACAATGTGCATGAAAATGCATAGAACAGCATGCTTTATGCATGCATGAAATACATATAAGAAGCCATGGTCTGCATTTTCATAGTTTTCTTCATCAAACTACCTCTTACAATTTTTTTACAAAAAAAAAATTGACAATGCATGTTCATGCACAGGCAAGCAGAACAAAACTAAGGGAGATAACTCCTACTTCATTAGAAGTGTGTGATTATTTTGCAGCAGTTGTTAAGTTTAAGCAAAGGATTCACAAAGAGTTTTATTGTTACATGTTCACAAGTATAACCCCCTTTTTTCTGAAGCTTTGAATCAGATTTATTGGGACACATAAAAGAACAAACTGTCATGGCTAATCAACTTTCCACAGGAACCGGATTCTGTCGGAACATCAATAAATATCCGTACTCAGGAAACTAGCTTCCTTCCTGTTGATTTAGCTGACTTAGGACAGATAACTAACTCAAGTGACCTGAAGCCACTTTACTCATGAGACTGGGCAGTCATTACCACATCAAACACACCCCTGTATTAAACCCTTCTCCACTTAAGACTTCATGACTACTGCTGTGTACATGTATTTATCTGCCTGCTGACATTCTCCACACATTCTGTTATACATTTATTATTCCTTTTTAAAACCTGCTAAACAAAAATAGGAAAGCAATTCTTGGTTCTTGCAGTAAAAACCTCCTCATGTCAAATTTCTCCAACACTCCATTTTCTCTCTCTCTCTTTTCCTTAATAAAATGTCCATATGCTGATGAACAAGGAATATTAATCACCATTTTTTAGCGCACATTATCGCAAGTAAATTTTTGAAATAAACTTTTTCCCCAGTATGTCTAAATATATGGTGAGTTTTACCTTCAACATCAGGAAGTACAACTTTTTCTTCTGTTTTGGACTGTTTAAGACTTTCTCGTGAGAATGTCTTAATAGCTTCCTTCAGACCTGTGCCCTGTTTTTCTTCCGCAATTTCTGTAAAAAGGTTAAAACATAACAATATTTGTATATCTACAATAAAAAGACAATATATACAGTAAGTAATTTTCTAATATTTACAGAAGAGTGAGCTGTGTATTATTATTTTCCAATAGAGTGAGTGGTGTGCCAATTTTTACATTTGAGTGAGCTGTGTACTTATTTTTCCAATAGAGTGAGGTGTGTCCTGCTTTTTACAGCAGAATGGGTTGTGTGCCAGTCTTTACAGCAGAATGGGTTGTATGCCAATCTTTACAGTAGAATGGGTTGTGTGCCAATCTTTAGAGAAGAATGGGTTGTGTGCCAAACTTTACAGCAAAATGGGTTGTGTGCCAATCTTTACAGAAGAATGGGTTGTGTGCCAATCTTTACAGCAGAATGGGTTGTGTGCCAATCTTTACAGAAGAATGGGTTGTGTGCCAATCTTTACAGCAGAATGGGTTGTGTGCCAATCTTTACAGCAGAATGGGTTGTGTGCCAATCTTTACAGCAAAATGGGTTGTGTGCCAATCTTTACAGCAGAATGGGTTGTGTGCCAATCTTTACAGAAGAATGGGTTGTGTGCCAATCTTTACAGCAGAATGGGTTGTGTGCCAATATTTACAGAATAATGGGTTGTGTGCCAATCTTTACAGCAGAATGGGTTGTGTGCCAATGGGTTGTGTCTTTACAGAAGAATGGGTTGTGTGCCAATCTTTACAGCAAAATGGGTTGTGTGCCAATCTTTACAGCAGAATGGGTTGTGTGCCAATCTTTACAGAAGAATGGGTTGTGTGCCAATCTTTACAGCAGAATGGGTTGTGTGCCAATATTTACAGAAGAATGGGTTGTGTGCCAATCTTTACAGCAGAATGGGTTGTGTGCCAATCTTTACAGCAGAATGGGTTGTGTGCCAAACTTTACAGCAGAATGGGTTGTGTGCCAATATTTACAGCAGAATGGGTTGTGTGTCAATCTTTACAGCAAAATGGGTTGTGTGCCAATCTTTACAACAGACTGAGGTGTGCACTGATTTTTACGGTAGAATGAGCTACACACTGATTTTTACAGTAGAATGAGCTACACACTGATTTTTACGGTAGAGTGAGCCTTGTAATTTCACAGTGTTTTTCACAGATTTTTCACTATCTTGTCAAAAGAAGTTCATGTGTCTTATTAAACCTTTACCTTAATACACTAATTCAAAAGTGGTTAACCTTAGAGGAGGACTCACCTTTAACACCTGGAAGGTCAGCCTGTTTCTCAACAGTATCTGTATGTTTTAGACCAGACTTGTCAAATTCTGTCACAGATTTTCTAAAAGTCTGTTCTTTTTTCTCAACTTCAATGGCTTAAAAGAAAAATTGTAAGGATATCAGCTATGGCTGACAAAAAATCAATGACAGATGCAGGAAATAACTGCTAACCATGCACCAGACTTCCATAAACAAAAGCAGACTTTATGTATAGAAATGTCCAATAAATTCAGATTGAGATATATGATTTTTTTTGCCTATTACTCAAAACTGAAGTTGAAGGTTTAGTTAGTATTCAAGTGTCGTTGAAGGTTGAAGCTAACACTGGTCCTGATAATATACAGGGATGCTGTAAATCATAAGTAGATATTCAAACACATTAACCTGTATCTTTATACAGAGATTGGAACAAATACACTATCCATATGGATTTGCCTTTTGATGAACTTAATTATGTCACTAAATAACCTTGAATACCTACCATCCTGGTCCGGAAGAGGGTTTTTCTCTGTTGTTTCAGTATGTTTGAGCTGTGAAGGATCAAACTGCTTGACATTGTGCACCAGTCTGGCCTCAGTAACCGGGCTGTTCTCACAGGGCGTGACATGCTTGAGTCCTTCTTTTTTGAAATTCTCTACATTCTGACGAAGCTCAACCTCTGTTTTCTCTTGTTGGATAGCTGTTGAAAATGTATGAGGTTTAAATAATTAATATGTACACTGGAAAACAGACTTCTGTTTCCACAGGAGACCACCTTTATCCTGCTTCTACATTTCTGAACAGTGTATTGGGAACAAATTTCTTTTTTCCACAAGTGTTACAATACAGCTTAAGTGTTCCAATAGGATATCAGTTGGAATAATAACATGACATATATCACCTTACACAGTTTCCACCAAATGTTAAACCCACACGTCAACCTGGTGCACTGATTCTGTAAGAAAATATCTTAAAAAGGGCGAAGAAAAAAAAGCCCAAAAAATAAAAATCAAGACTGAATGCAGCCAATGTTAACATTTGTGTTAATACAAAAGCTTGTATCAATTAAAGCATGTGAGTCTTAAAATACATGTTCTTAAATCTGATGGTTAAACAGTACAATAGTCACTTGATCCCTACTATGACAGTGGACCCTAGGTCTACTATATGTCAGCACCCTCACCTCCCCCTAAACAGTCCAGTATAGAAGTACTAATAAAGTTTCCCGGACCATTCTGCTGGCTGCAATACAATTCGGATCAAGAAACACAGACTAAATAACTTTCAAACAGTGGTATATCTCCCTTCATCGCTAATACACAAGATTATTTGGCTCTGTGCTTATGAAGGTTTTCTTTGGTCCAGGTGTCATACAAGGGAAGTTTGTGTGAGTACTAACCAGAAGCATCAGGGAGGGGATTTTTTTCTGAAACGCTGGATTTCTTTAAACTGTTTCTGTCAAATCTCTGCAAACTCTCTCTGTGTTCTGTCTCACTCTTTTCTTGCTGTATAGCTGGGGAAAAAGCACATGCACATAAGAGCTAAGTCATTTATACAAGCTTCTTAGCAACCAAGACTTATGTTATCAATGCTGCACTGTGCAGAAAAAGCCCACCACAATAAGAAATGATAAGATTGCGTAATATTTGTCTTTACAAGCACTTAGATTTAATTAATGTCTGTTAAACAGATTTAGATTTGATTTCTTTCATAGAACAAGCTTAAGCTGTCATTCACCTGCTCATTACTTTTTGCCATATCATGGCAAAATTCTTTGAGGTAAAAGCATCTTGCTTTCTGCTTTCAATACAGCTTAAACAGAGGGTTGTCTCCCAAGCAAAACCAGTTACTTATCTGAATAAGTAGTGTATATTTCAACACATGTAAAGTAATCTACTTTAGCCAAGCATGTCATTCAAAATGAGGAAAAGCAAGCAAGTGACATCACTAACAAAAAAGAACGAAGAAACTTGCCACCAGGTGGCACTACATATACATCAGAAAGAAGGTTTAACTTGCCACAAGATAGCAATATAAGCACATCAGACAGAAAGTGAAATTTTGCCACCAGGTGGCACTACATGTACATCAGACAGAAAGTATAATTTGCCACCAGATGGCAGTATATGCACATCAGAGAGAGGGTGTAACATGAAAACTGTATATCACCATTTGAGGGTGTGGCTGGTACAAAATTGTAACAACAAATCATGACATCAATGAATTGTATTATACTTGGTTACACACACAAGGGAGAGAGTGAAAGAAAACTTTAATATTTTGTGTTGTCGCACAGCTTAAGCAAGGTTATAACAGTCAATATTTTGTATCTTTTAACAATATATCATGATACTGGTTCACCTTTCATCCCTAGCCAATACCTACTACTGCTATCAGGCAGGGTTGACTTTTCTTTCAGGGTCGTTTGCTTGAGGTCAGTTCTAGGGAAGCCGGAAATACTGACCAGATGAATGTGACGTGCTTTCTCCTCCGCTAACACTACAGGAACATGCAGCAGATACATGGAATATATACAAGCCCCTGTGCAGCATCTCAAGATATACATGTATTAAACAAGCCCCTGTGCAGATTACTAGTATAGAACAAAGTACAAGGAGAAGCATTATATATATATATATATATATATACAGTGGATTTGTTTACTGCACATTTTGGAAACATTCATTGTCCTGTATTAAGTGGTTTTAAGTGTTCTGACAAGATTGATTAATAGAATAATTACAAGTTCTGTCATAACGGTCTGGTTATGCTTTAGTCCAAAGTTTTAAAAAACAATCTACAAAATTTATAAAATGAACAATGTTTTTTGAAAATTTAGGAAAACCAAACCAACAAAATAACTTCTAACACGAAAGAAAACCAACTGGAAGGAATTGTTTCTTAAACATCACAGGTAGTGTGTTAAGTTTTAAGGATTGTCGGAATTGATCTTGGCTTCATTCCACTGTACATATACAAGATTAGAGAAAGTCAGACCAGGGTGACCTTTGATGTTGGTCATCATACTGATTACATGCCACACCAATATCCATAAAAGGTGTGCAGAATTTTCTAAGAAACTGTCAGGTGTGTCTGATTTCATAGGACATATTCATCCTCATCTCAGATATATCAAATAATCTTAAAACACTTCAGCATAAACAGGAAGGATTTTCTATCCTTACCTGAAAATAATTGTAATGTCCAATATGAATATTCCACGTAAAGTTCAATATGAAAGGTCATTTGGGTCCACTTTATTTATGTACTCTTAAATATCCAGTAATACATTTCTAAAACCATGGAAAGTTAGAGATTACACTTAATAAAATATGATATAGGTACATGCATTAACTAATATCTCTTTGTAACAAGTTCAGAAACCATCCACCAATCAGAATTGAAGAATCCACCGATTTAATACTGTATCTACCTTAATTAGCCCCGTGTATATACACACCCTTCTGGACCAGTGTTCAGGCTTGCCCCGTGTATATACACACCCTTCTGGACCAGTGTTCAGGCTTGCCCCGTGTATATACACACCCTTCTTGACCAGTGATCAAGCTTGCCCCGTGTATATACACACCCTTCTGGACCAGTGATCAAGCTTTCCCGTGGATAATTACAATAAAATCTGCTGATTTAGAGGCATGCTTTTAGAGTTAGTGTGATTTGTAGGATTCTAATTCAGAATTAAAATTCTTTTTCTGTTTAGAGTGATTCTAATTTCTTTTTGGTTCTATAAGAATTTTTTTTTAATTATCAGTAAGATATTCTGCACGCTTTTCCAGCAATAAGTATAACACACCTATTAATGTTATATATAGCAGTTACAAATACTTTCTCCTCGTAAGTGATGCTTGTATCAATTTTAATATGTTATAATCGTTAAATAATTCAAAGTAAAACCGTATTGAATAATTTTTTTTCTATTTTAAGTTATAATTCCTATGGCCTTGGAAGGGAATTGTATTTCGTAAGATTATAAATACTGACAACTATGATCTTAATACAGAAATTCATTAATGCGAAATGTAAAAAAAATATTTTGTAAATTTTAGGAAATAAATGTAGAGTATGATCAATTGATATCCTCAATCACAATTAAATATGAACTCTCCTTCACTACATTACGTAATCAACCTTCCTTTGAGCACACTAGAAGCTAAGTAATGTAGTGAAGATACAAATTATTTTTTGAACGATTGAGATTTTTGGAGAGGATTTTAATGAATTATTGTTGGATATGGAGATTAATAATGTATTCTGATATTTGTATCATACAGTCTCTACATAAGATATATGTGATTTGATGATACACACAGCAGGCAGACTCACTCAAACTGTCAGGTAGTATAATTCTCTCCCTTGTTTTTGTGGGCGAGAGCTGACCGGCGTTGAAGCTCTCCAGGGTCGTCAGGAATTCCTTGTGAGACTTCTCTAAATCTAAATCTAATGGTGCCATGCAATGTAATTAGCTTGCATTAAACAGGAAACAGATTGTAAAACACAAGGCAGTGCTAGCATCATCATACAACAGTTGGAGAAAAATTGTGCAAAGCAGTAACTTAATTTAATTTTCAAAAACACATTTTCTAAATGTTTATTGTTCTATTAGTTTGTTACAGTAATATTAACAAACTCCATTTTCAGTTTTTAAGAATTTTTTTCTGACAAAGTCAACACAGAAATCACAACTTGATGGATAGGCTCAAAAACATACATCAGGATCAGTAAGCTTCAAACAATGTGATGAGTGCAAGGAACAATTTGTGTGAAACAGAATTTAAAATCAAACTTGTTATCAAACTGTAGGAATGACCCATCAAAGACATTGGGCAACATTTTGATAAAGTAAGAAATGATCAAAAAAAGAAAATCTTGCAACAATGTTAAACAAATATAACCCTTGGAAACATAGCAAATATAACCATGGAAACATAGCAAATATAACCACGGAAACATAGCAAATATAACCATGGAAACATAGCAAATATAACCATGGAAACAACAAATATAACCATGGAAACATAGCAAATATAACCACGGAAACATAGCAAATATAACCATGGAAACAACAAATATAACCATGGAAACATAGCAAATATAACCATGGAAACATAGCAAGGTAAAACCTCTTTTGGCTTCTTCAACTTTCAGATTGTTTGAATATTTCCAGAATTAGGATAATTAGTTTCTAGACTAAAGAGGTTGCAGACAAATGAGGTTCTAGTGTACAGGAACCAACACCATCATCACCCTATCATTTAATATCTACATGGATAGCCAGACATCTGTCACTGATTAAAAAATCAAGCCTCTCTTTGATCTCCATATGTAGGTGGGGTAGAGGGATATTGTTAGTTTTAGTTGGCCAAAACGTGTGCTTAAAACTGCACCAAATTAAATAATTGGTATAACTGAGAGCTCGGTAGAAATAGATGATATAATTATATATTAAATAATTGGTAGAACAGAGAGCTCGGTAGAAATAGATGATATAATTATATATTAAATAATTGGTAGAACTGAGAGCTCGGTAGAACTGAGAGCTCGGTAGATATAGATGATATACCTTTTCAGAAGTTTTCTGATTTAAGACCGTCTTTGACCGTAAAAAATGTGAAAATTCCAAGATATTTCTTTTAAGATGAAGGGAAGATATTTATTTTTCTCTAATTTGAGAAATAAACTTCCGTTTTAGCTCATGGAAACAGTCTGTTTTATGCAGCAGAATATAGCCAATGATATCATTATTGATAAATTGCTAAAGCTCGATATAAAACACATCTTTTCTTCTTAAAACAATTTGCACACATGCCAGCTGTTTTAATAGAAACGCTTATTGTGTACAAAAAGAGATGTATGACAATTGACAATTGTTGCTAATGTGTGTCCTATAGACAATCAAGAATCGTCCAACTTTTTTTTAAACCACAAACATTTCCCTTGGTCTGGCTAGCCCTGTAGACATGTTCACCCTAGAACAATTGACAACAGAAAAAAAAAATGCTGGATGCTGAAAATCATATACAATAAGTAAATATACAGCTGGTGTAACCATTGGATCTGTAATGTCCTTGAGCTGTAACATTTACCTCGTTATTTACAAATATTCTGTGATATTGCTGTCTGGGACATGTGGGTAGTAGTCCTGATGTAAACATATATACAAAAATGTAGCACCACTTTATCTCAATGTTCAATTGCAACTTATTTATCTTTCCTGAAATATTCATATTTTTTCAACATATATCTTGTTTATCCAGCAATAAGACCATGTCTGGTTATAGGCTTGTCCACATTTATTGAGATTTCAGATAAAATTCAGACAAATATAACACTGTCCTGTAAAAATAACTTTCAGTCAGAAGTGAAGTTTTGTCCCCTGGGCTTATTGCAGGATAATGACCCTAATAAAGCATAGAACAACAATGGTTTTTTAACAGATCTATGATGTTCATGAAAGTGTACCTCAAAAGATAAACAACTAAACTTCAAAATGAATAGAAATTTTGAGATTTGTTGAATGTTGGGACTGAAATATGACTAAATGGGATTAATCAAAGAAGTAATTACAATTAGTGTTAGGTAGTAATTAAGCTAATTAAACATAGTTTGCTAAATATTTAATGATTATAGCATCAATTGTATATATGATATCTATATATCAGTATGCAGTATATTTGTGGTGTATTAATACTGTTACTCCTTTAACATCCCAGTAACATTACAGTTAACACCCTATTAACCTTTAAAGTTAACACCCCAGTAACATTACAGTTAACACCCTATTAACCTTTAAAGTTAACACCCCAGTTACATTACAGTTAACACCCTATTAACCTTTAAAGTTAACACCCCAGTTACATTACAGTTAACACCCTATTAACCTTTAAAGTTAACACCCCAGTTACATTACAGTTAACACCCTATTAACCTTTAAAGTTAACACCCCAGTAACATTACAGTTAACACCCTATTAACCTTTAAAGTTAACACCCCAGTAACATTACAGTTAACACCCTATTAACCTTTAAAGTTAACACCCTATTAACCTTTAAAGTTAACACCCCAGTAACATTACAGTTAACACCCTATTAACCTTTAAAGTTAACATCCCAGTAACATTACAGTTAACACCCTATTAACCTTTAAAGTTAACATCCCAGTAACATTACAGTTAACACCCTATTAACCTTTAAAGTTAACACCCCAGTTACATTACAGTTAACACCCTATTAACCTTTAAAGTTAACACCCCAGTTACATTACAGTTAACACCCTATTAACCTTTAAAGTTAACACCCCAGTTACATTACAGTTAACACCCTATTAACCTTTAAAGTTAACACCCCAGTTACATTACAGTTAACACCCTATTAACCTTTAAAGTTAACACCCCAGTTACATTACAGTTAACACCCTATTAACCTTTAAAGTTAACATCCCAGTAACATTAGCGTCCCAACACACTGATATAATGACATCCGAGAAGTTATTCCATGAAGTACAACAAGGGAGATAACTGGCCTAATGACATACCAGTTTTTCGGAGTTTGTCTTAAGTTACATTATTTACTATAACCTCTATGAACCTCTTACCTTCTTTACTGGGGAGGACATTCTTTTCAGAAACCTCAACATGCTGAAGCTTGGGACCCTTGTTAATTTCTCCCAGGATCTGCTTGGCGGGGTTTGCTGCTGTTGCTGCCATAGTGATAACTGATCTGTAAAACACAAAACATGAATTTTTACACTTCAATGTGTGAGTCTTACTTCAGCTATAGATATCAATTCTCCTTCTCAGAAAATTCTGCTATAAATCAACTTTTGAAAATCATGATAAGTAATTCAACTTCATATCAAAGTTTGAAATAAGAAATGAACAAAGGGCAATAACTCAATAAAAACAAAATGCATGCCATACAAATAAAGGATTTACATCCCAGTGTTTGGCAGTATTGCTAAATCAATAATCAAATATCACTAGACTTGGAAGTTTAATTTATTTTATGATGAAAGTTTTTCTTGTTTTCTAGTGAGTCTACTTTTTTTACTTAGTCTTTTATTTGATATAACGCACTGCAGTTGGAGTAATTTCAATATCAGTCACATAGGTTTGTATAATACTGTATAAACTTCATAATTGTTTGTTTTAACAAACGGTCACTTCAATTCATACGTGGTCGAGTGTTTTTTGCTGTTTTACCAGCTTGCAGCTGAATATCTGAGGATACATGACCAGGTAAATATGACACAGTGTGTAAAGGGCCTATATGTAATGATGCTTCCTTTTTATACACCCCTGCATGTCAAAAGATTCTTCCCTTTAAATGTTGCAGCATATTTTCAAGTAAATGAAAATATCAATAGACTCTGTACTTTCCTTACAAAACCATCTACTGTTTACACTAACAGGATAAAAAAAACCAGACCTCATCTGACCGAAGTTCAGAGTAAATCTCCATTCCATATTGATTAGGCCTGATATTTCTATTTATCAAGGATGTCTGGAAGTTTCTGATAATACAGAAACTTATACACATTCATACATGTTTCTCAATCTGTAAGGGATAGTTGACCGACTTTTTAAAAACAACTTCTAGTGAAGATCAAAATATGTTTTATCCTTGCACGCCACACAACGGTAAAATAACTATCTATAAAGTAGAAATCATAATTTGTCTGTTCACTATGAATTGTCTAATATAAATGTCAACGTTGAAGGGTGACTACCACAGCAAAGCATTAACCATTGAATGTTATCATTACCATATTTAATCACACAAACACCCATGGTGATTTTTAAAAATGAGGCAAAGCCACAATTGGCCGGGTTGTGGGATGAGTGAATTGTTATATGGTATTTATAAGACAGTTACGAGTGTTTCATTTGTTGAGTATGTAGAATATTTGTTTTAAGAGGCAAAGGCTGCCATCTTGAATTTTCCATGCCGGACTGTTAAAAATGACGAAGTTCAAAAGCCCGGTAAATCAAGAAAAAACGTACGGAATGAATCCATAATAGGAGGTGCACATCTTCAACATATATATAAACATGCTACAAAGTATCTATCTTCTACGTCAAAAACTCTTAGGAGGAGATGATTCTACAAAACTGGCACCTCTTTTCCCCACCCACCCGACAGACATTCACCATACTATAACCCAGATTTGCAGTATGTACAAACCCAGCCAATAAAATGCTTTCTATGTGAGGACCAGAACCCATTTTATCAACTGAGGATGATCTTGTGTAAGTCATGGAAATCAGAGATAATAGCATGGGGTTGTTGAAAGAGCAAAATCACAGACAACTGAGATACTATCACAGTGGTCTATAAACTAGCAAAGTCACAGAAAAAAAAGGGGTACCGCCACGCCGTTCTCTTAAAGAACGAGAGGATTCTTGTTATAGAATATTACCACTTATCTCCTGATCTATACAACCATGGTTTCTCATCTTATTCTTATTCAATTTATAAATAGATTTTTTTCAGAACAAATATTTATCAACAAAGGGCAATAAATCTACATATACTAATCAAGAGACTTGAATTTTCAATATGTTAATCCTTCACCCACTCAGAGACAAAATTAGGCAGTTTCAGGTGAAAGAGTGAATGAGATATTGTAACAGATAATATGAATTAATGGAATACCCAGCTAACTAACAGTGAAAACTGCCAACTTAGTCTAACCCTTTCTCTGTGTGTGACAAATCAGATGCTACAATAGTATTAATTGTAATTCGGTAAGAAAAGAACTTTAAGGTTTTTATAAATATGTTTAATACAATAAAAATGCTGATTACTGAATTACTGATGACAAAGTGAATGCTCTCGCACAGTCTTGTAATAGGCGTGTAGCACTTTTTGAACACCATGTTTTGTGTACACAGAAAATGGTTAACACATAAAAGCACAATATGGCCATGACACTCATGGATGATATAATGATATCCCTTCAGATGAATTCAGTTTTTCTTTCACTAGGACAGCCAGAATGGAGTAAATTATGATCAGATTTCCAAAATTGCACAAGTCCTAAACTAGTGTTTTCTTTATCTACAATGCTATCGTATGTCACCTGTTGTCAACCTGAAGTTCACTGCGACACACTCCACTGGTTTCAGACTAATAAACATCAAAACACTGTAAAATATATATAGTCATGTGACAAATGCTTCCTCAGGCTAGAGAGAGCCTGTTGGTGAACCATCTAGTACATAAACATCATCAATCATTCATCGTATGTGCAAACCAATATCTAACAATTACTTTTTCTTTCTTATTATTTCTATAAGTCAAAAAAGCTTGTTTTTTCAACTACCTGATCATATCATTTCTGTCAATAAATAAAACACGACTTTATACGGTTTTAATTGATGATGTTGATTTTTCTGGAATTGTTTTCTTCTTCAGTTCATTTTTTTCAGATCTTGTTTAACATTTCAAATCAAATACCAGTATTAGCCTTTTAATAAGCATATTTACAAACTGCAAAATTGTAAAGATGTCTAAAATATGTGTTTATGTGTTGACCTTTATATGCCAGAAGTGATCTGTGTCATCGTGAGAAAATATTTTTGATAAATCAGACTGTATACAGTTCATATATGTAAATTTCATTGATATAAAGGAAAATAGACTGATGACTCAACTTCCTGTTTAGAAGCTTTAGTAATGTATATATATATATAACAATGAACAATGGTGTGGTTACCTTTCATTTACATTATTATATACCTGCTAAAACATTTATCAGATTATGATCAATGTATAACAGTCCCCAGGCTCTTCGTGTTTAAAATCCCGAGTGACCCACATATATTCTCCTCACAACTTCCTTCTTGTTTTTAAATTGTTGTTTACAAGAGAAAAGTATAACAGCTGGGCAAGGCTATGTCTTGCATAGTTTACTTAGTTTGACAACAATTTAACTGAACTACTGATTTGATATGCCAAGGAACTTTAAAAAATTGACACCCTATGGCAAAAATTTGAATTGATAAAACAGGAAAAGAAATCACATACAATTTTCCTAAAAAACAAAGAACAGAAATTTTTTTTTTCTTCCTCAGAAAATATTGAAAATCTTCTTAAAGAATTAAAAAAAAAAACAAGAAAATTGACAATTGTTGTTCTTCCTCAGACGATATTCACAATCTTCAGGGATGAACTTATAACAGCAGAATGCAAAGTTGTTGGCGACTCTGCCAAACAGAATACATATTGGTTCCCTGGCCTTAATTTCAAATAGATACAGTATTAAACTCATATATCTATGTTTTAGTAATGGCAGAATAGATAATTCAGCAATTCCACACTCCACAAAAATTGTTGTCAACTTGACACTAAAATAACATTATTGCAAAGTTGTAATTACATATTGAGGTGGAGATCATTTAGCTCCATTTATCAACAACAATACTGTAACATAAATGTCGACTTCTATAAACCATTGATCAGTACAGCTTACAGATAACACTGAGAAAGAAGTGTCTATGCTTAGCAGAATCGTTTAAAAAAAAAACTGATGAAACATTTAAATTTGACAGACAGTAATAATGCTAAAATATTTCAAGCAGAACTGATGTACATTCACCATAGTACTGTGTTTAGTATCTGCTGCACAGTATGACGGTGCTGTGTATTGCAGCTATCATGTACACACTAACCCTACCGCTTCCAGAATATTGATCCACATAACTATCACATTACGTACAAATTTTTCATTTTATTATCAATCATTAAAATTGCTGAAATGACAGTAGGTATTTGCTAATATGTAGTGGGTGTCAATCCGCCACCAGTCACCAGGTAGGACAGACAGCTCGAGTGTTAGGAGATCCCTGGTTTGGTTTCTGGTCTGGTCAAATGTTTTTCTCTATTTGTAAAGATAACACTTGGTGTCTCCACTAAATGTAAACACAGATCTATTGTAGGTAATCTGAGTAACATTACTGAGAGAATGGAGTGAAATCAGAGTTGACCATAAATGGTGTGGCTGATCGTCCAACAGATCCCAGGTTTCAATGCTAATGATGCTGTTTTTACCCTGGTTTTATATGTATTATATTCAAAGGATTAAGTCACAATGACCTGGTTTATCAAACGATACGGAGTTCTCCCGAAAATAATATGAAAATTATCCTGAAACTAACATCAATTTCCATCCATTTGGTGAGTTTACTGCTAGACAGGTGTCCTGTCCATGTGACTAATCAACAGCTGTCCATCAGCCATCTACAATAACCTCTACAGCTGATGGTCACCTCTGACCAAGTCCGAGTACACATGCTTCCTCCTCATATCAGTATAATTTTTGATACAGTTTTAAAAAAACATCATTTTGTGTTATTATTACCTAAACCTTATATTTTCTTCTAGGAAACAAATTGTTTTTCTATCAGTTCAAAGTTGAAAAAAAATTAATTGAAGTAGTAGAATTGAAATTCATAAAGTTCTTGTTTTCCAATCAAATTGCTGTTCAGGAAAACACAACTTCATGTCATGGTGATTAAACGTACCAAGTTTGAAAGAAACTGGTTGAAAACTGGGCGATGGGATCACTGAACAATATAAACATTATGAAAACCATGAGAAACAATTTTTTTTTCAGTCAAATCATACTGCTGTTCAGGATAACACAGCTTCATGTCATGGTGATTAAGTCAACAAAGTTTAAAGATATTTGTTGGAAACTGTGGTAGAAATCCCCAAAC